ACCTTTTAAGGTCCCTTGACCTTTTTTGTTCTGTGTGGGAGCCTACTCGGGGCACTTCCTGCCTGGACAATGTAGCAACCGATTTATGTAATGACTGTTTTAATGCAGAGGTCCTTAGCTATGCCATTGCAGACCATGAAGCAATTAAGTTTAGCATAAGGGATAAGCAGGCAGATGGAAACGTCTCGAAGCATGGTACTATATCTAAGTTGTATAGGCCCTTTCCTGTAAGTAAAATACATAGCTTTGTGGGTGATCTCTTTAACATAGACTGGTATGTTCTACTTCAAGGTGGTAATGCTAACCAAAAATTTAACAAGTTTTTAAATACTTTTCTAATGTTGGTTAACGAGTGGTTTCCCAAAAAAAAAAACCTCCGGCCCCGTAAGAATCTAAAAAACTCCATCCAGCCCTATACAGACAATCCCACTTTACTAACCTTAAGAAAGTGGAAACTTTTAACCTATGATATGTACAAGGTATCCAAAACTCCTGAAGCTAAAGCAAGATATCTGCGAGTCAAAAATGAATACCAAGAAAGCCTTAAGCTTGCCAGATTTGAGAGTAATGTTAAATTCATTGAATCTGTACAAAATCCTTGTTCTGCAGCTTGGACGGTTATAAAGAGAGAAGTGGTTCCAACAAAACCTTTACAGTTGACCAGCCTAACACCAAGTGAGTTCAACGAATTTTTTGTGAACTCGATCCAATAGACCCGTGACGCTATTGGAATCCCCCCTACCTCTGGCCTAGAACTACTGGGAAAAAATCCTCCACCTACTAGTACCTTTCACATGTCCCCAGTTTCATGTGATAAAGTCATATCTGTAGTGCAAGGGTTAAAGAATTCTTCTAGCAGACACATATATGATATCTCTACTAGTTTTGTGAAACAGATCATTTTCTCTATAGTTAGCCCATTAACTTACTGTATCAATTGTTGTAATTTAGAAGGTATTTTCACTGATGTTTTAAAAATCACTAGGGTTGTGCCTATTCACAAGAAAGGCAATCCCAACCTGCCAGAGAATTTTAGACCAATTTCTATTTTGCCATCTTTCTCTAAGATCCTTGAATTTATAATTAAATAACAGCTCTCTCTGTATTTTGAAGCAAACAATTTGTTCTCGGCTGCCCAGTTTGGTTTCAGGCCTCACCACAGCACTACTGATGCGGTTGAAAAGTTAATAAAAGCAGCTTTTCAGTCTTTTGAGGATGGGGGATTTGCTGGGGCCACTCTTTGTGACCTCAGCAAGGCCTTTGACATGGTGGATCATGACACCCTCCTGGGAAGGTTAAATTTCTATGGGGTTAAGGGGAAACTTTTTGAACTGTTTGAGTCATACCTGACTGGGCGTGGGCAGCTGGTTTGCATAAATGGCAGACAATCTAGAGTACAGCAATTGACCCATGGTGTACCTCAGGGCTCAATTCTTGGTCCCTTACTTTTTAATGTCATGCTTAATGATCTCGCTTTGTGTTTGGGGCAAGGTGTCATCTGTTACGCAGATGATACTACACTCTTAGAAACTAGTAATGAACTGGGAGATCTTGAGGAAGCCATGAAACGATCTCTTGAGGGGGCATCGGCCTGGTTCCGAGCAAATCACTTTTTTCTAATTGAGACAAAGACTAAGTCAATAATCTTTAGCCTAAGAAACTTAGAACATAGTGTTAAATCTGTCAAACTTCTAGGCTTACATCTTGACAATAAAGTAAACTGGAATGACCAGATTAGCCATGTTTGTGCCAGACTTTCCAGAGCTCTGTGTCTACTCAGAAGACTGAGATATTTTGTACCAAAGGACTGGCTGAAAACTGCTTATATTGCTTTCTTTCAGAGTATTTTATTGTATGGCCTAAGGCTCTGGGGTGCCGCCTCTGGGGTCAAGAGAGTTCTGCGCTATCAAAAGAAAGCAGTTAGAGTAGTGGCTGGTGCTGATTACTTGGACCATTGTAAACCTATATTTGTAGCTGAGAGCTTAATGACAGTTTGTAACCTCTATATTTTTCAGTCCTTGATCAAAATCAAGAAGGAATGGGATTCTCTTGAGCTGAGAGGCGACATCCATCCCTATAATACACGTAGGAAAAATGATATCAATTTACCACATGTTAGATTAAGTAAAGTTGTCGAATGAGATTCTAAGTTATAAGTTTTTTAATAAACTTCCTTTTGCAGCTCGGAACCTGCCGGACCCAAAATTTAGAAAAGGTGTTGAGGGGCTCCTTTTGGCAAACCCTTTGTACAAAAATAAAGAATTTTTTGATCTGAAAGAGGAATATGTAAGTAGTTTTTTTTTAGTTTTTCAACCGAGTGCTGTGTGCTGTTTTTTTTTTCTCTGCATGGAAAGTTTCAGGAATGTAATTCTTTATATTGGTAAGAAATCTTGTACCATTGTCTTTTTTAGTTTTTATTTTAGCTATAGTTGACTGACGTTTTCCAGCAAAGTAACCGCATTTTATGGAAATAAAATTTCTTGATTCTTGATTCTTGTTTCAGTATCCTTAGTGACTATTAGCGAATTTCCCTATAGGGAAGTAGCTATTACCGTAGGTCTCATGGTAAGACCTAGGCCCGGGACCGATTTACATCATTTTGACATCATGTTGATGTCCCCAGAGGCCAAAAACACTATTTTGTTCAAATATATATCTAGAATTTAAAATATAGAAAATTAAAAAAAATAGTTCATTTAAAATTCAATGTTATTCTTATGGAGAATATTGTAAAATTTTGTAGTTGGCTTGTTTTTGGATATATTTTAATAACACTTGGCAGATTTACTTATTTTATACTAAGCTATTAATATTTTAATAAAAAACACACTTTGTTAGTTTCCCTGCAGCAGCAAACCTAGGTACTCGTTAAACATAAATGTTAATTTAATAGATAAAATTAAAATCAATCCAGGCAAATGGAAATTCACCTATTCGGCAGGTTTGCTGCAGCGGGGGTATTAACTCATTATTCTACATTGTCGTAGTCTTTACTGACGTCTTGAGTTTGTATTTTTGTATCTAAACAGGTATTATATCCACAATGACAAAATACTGTGTAAGGTAAGCCTGAGCTCACGCAAATACATCTTTTTCAATTCGGTTCACTGGTGTATATCAAACGCAACAATAAAAATAACTTGATAGGAATAAACCACGTTATGTTCATATCTGAGTTTACCCATAGCTTACTGAGGTTTTCTTCACCAAAATGAATAACACAGCTCATTTAGAGCTTGAGATATAGATTTTTAATCAAAGACAGTCCTTAAAAATTGAAAACCTTATGTTAGTTAGAGGTCTAAAACTCACCTTAAACTCTACATATTTAAATGAAAATTGTCTCAAATGAAAGTTCTAAGTTAACCCCAGAACGAATAAGATAGTACTGTATACATAGCAGCTGAGAAATATGTCTTTAAAATGCAGAAGAAAGTTAAGAAAAAACAACTTTAATTCTACGTTTGAGCTTATAACTCGCCCCAAACACGTCAGATTTCAATAAATAATAGCTCAAAAGAACCGCATTAACTCACTGAGTATTCCCATACCACAACATACAATATCACGTAAAAATAACTTGAGACACAATCATTAACTAAAGATAAAGAAAATCAATTTTGTTGTTGTTTGGGGGTCCACAACTCATATTGAACTCAGCCGATTTTAATAGTCAATGGCTTGGATTAAAGCCAGTAACTCAATGAGTATTTATAGTATATAACATTTCATATAACGTAATTATAACCGGAGATAATATCTTTAATTAAAGACAAATCTTGGAAAAACTAAAATGTAAGTTGGTTAAATCCTGGTTAAAGTTCTATAAATCCCCTCAATCCCGATAGATTTGAATGACCAATGCCTCAAATGAAAGCCAGTAGTTCTCTGAGTATTTTATTATCACAACCATAATCATTACTCGAGATAAAAATCTTTTTTTCAGAGAAAATTATACAACCATTAAAATCTTTGTTGGTTGAAGTCTTGTAATTCACCTCCAACTCGTTCGATTTCAGTGATCTACATGTTAAATGGAAGCCAATTGTTTACTGAGTGTTTTTATTGCAATACATACAACATCTAATAATAATACCTCAATGGGTTGGCCAAAATTTAAACTTTTATTTTTGAAAAATATTGTTTCTTTGGAGTGAGGATGAATAGATCGTCCTTAAAGTCCTTAAATATAAATAGTTAATAGTTCAAATTAAATTTGGTAATTTTACAAACATTTTAATACCAAAAACAGCCAGAGAGAAGTACCGGATGGTCTCAGGAAAGATGTTACAATTTTATTGAACATATAAAATATCCTTATTTTTCATTGAAAATCAATAAAAAATGTATATTTTAATGCTTTGTTCTGGCGTTACCCATGATCCAACAAAGCATCCCATAGATGTATTCGATACCAAATTTAAAGCTCTACAATCTTTATAACATATATTATAGTCATATTTTGAGTAATTAAGGCGCAAATTGAAATAAAAATAAATATGTCATTATGTTTTTATAAATTATAAACTTTGAAAAGTAATACTGACCTTGAAACAAATTATATATATTTAATATATGGTATTTCTGAGTAGGGAATTTAACCATAAACACTTTAAAATAACTTGCATTGCTCTACCTTAAATAGTTTTTTAATTACATTGGTTTAAGTAAAAGCTTACACTGTAATTTACGTTTCCCACCATTTTCCAAGATGGCGGCTGTTGCCCAAGGGTACCAAAAAAGTACCCGGTGGTTTTAGGGTCTACTTACCCTAGATATCACATATCAACTATAAAAAAAAACTTAATAGGACAAAACCAGGTTCGGGTCAATTCTGGCGGACTAATATGATGAATGGCTACCACTATTACTGACTCTACCTCCAGTTGACTACATAAATCAAAGTTAACAAGTTATGTATATTTGATCCAACTTAAAAAAAAAATTAAGGCCAAATTTTATAACAAAAATAATTTAACTTGTGAACATAGTCTACTCACATTGCGTTTTTCTTCAGTGTGCTCATGGATATCCCATGACCTGAAATATTTGCCCAAAGCCACTCGTAGATCGGCCATATTTTGAATGCTTGCCACGCAATGAGCCGCTAAAAAGTTAAAAATATTGTTAAAGTTGCTCAGTAAAACAAAAAATGTTTAAGAATAATATCAAGTTTACTTAGTTTTAACACATATACATAAACGTTGCCAACGGACTAAGATAGAGATGCATTAATCACTTACGTACTTTTACAACCATTCCTCAAATTTTGTAAATGCGGTGCAAGCAATTGTTTCGGAATACGTTACTCAGAAAACAATGTTCCAAAAGGAATGTGCCTCTGAGACACTGCTTCGAAAAGCTCTGCTCTAAAAATGTGTTTCAAAGCAGTGACTTTCGGAGCAACGCCTAAATGATGTTACTTAAATGAATCGGTAAAAAAGAAAAGTATGATTCTAGTAACAGGATGCTACTTTGTAAAAGAATTTTATTCAAAAGTTATACTTGCATCATTACCTGTTAACACAAACTGGTCGTTTATCAAACTACCACCACATCGTTGGTCCCATATCTCTCTCCCTTCGTCTACATCACGATAATAGAGACCTGCGTGCCAAGGGAACGCACCGACATTGGCCTGCACTCCATCCACGATCAGCGGAGTCAGTTGGCCGACCTCGTTCGACGCACCACACACTGAAATAAAAAAAGTAGACACGATTGTTCCAGTATGAAAAATTGAAACAAGTAAAATAAATCAAACCTTTATAACAATAATAAAAGAATAAATTATTGCAACAGTTACTGAACAGAAATTAAAACTACACATTAGTACATTAATTGACATTAACGGCTACATGGTTTCTGCAAAAAAAAAAAAAAATAACAAATAAATAGCAATCATAATAGGCTGTGTAATATTTCAAAGCTGGTCAATTTTCAATCCCGAATAACCTTAATATTGTTGTTGGACAGTTAGTCAAAGAGTTTTTTTTTTAGTTTTGCACGACTGGACGGGCAATGTTGTACGGAATTAGGAGGTACTTTGAAGTCAACGTAAAGGGCAGTTGATGACTTAAAAAAAATATTACTCCAGCCACAGTTCTTAAAAGAGCATAATCTGTTTTTAAAATACCTCTCTAAGCAAGGTCTTTTACTTTAGACGATTATGGGTGGTGATAATCTTCGGTCAACAAACCTGCTTCAGTCCCATCATACCACTGAGTATGTTACTTTATGTAATCTGTCAGATTTTACATCATAACAACGAAATGAACTCGACAAAATTTACGAAAGAGTTTGAAATATCTATGATAGTATGGCAGTAAATAACTATCTAACTTGTACCACTTGAAATTTGTGTTTAAAAGTTAGTACAAGTTGTATTGTCTACGTCTTTCAAGGAGTGCACATAGCGTGGTTACCTGCAGTGCAATAGAACAGCTGTTGGTCCCATGAGCCACTGTTTAGACAAGTCAAGTTGGTGTACCCCGGGTCGTAAGCAGGTCTGTAGTTGTGTTTGCATCTGGGGATTGCGATGGTACCGGGCTTCAACTGATCGTCTCTGACGACTTTGTCTTGATAGATGTACTGAACCTTAATATTGTTCGGCGCCTTCAGTGGGGGGCATAGCTTTTCTGAAATAAGTATCCAGTTTGATTGATATCTTAACACCTTGGTTATTGCTAGCCGCATTTGCAACAATATTTGTTTTACCACCTGTTTTACCACTCTCTGCTAAGTCTTTTGCTAGCCTCGCCTACTTGTAGAACATTTTTCATTGAATGACCATACTCGGTGTGTCCTTATGTTTTGCGTAAGAGATAGCAGACAAATATATGGGTACTAAGTAATTTTTTTTTATTTATACATTAAATGTTTGGGGAAAGAATCCTGGGGCTCTGATTTGGCTACATACCTGGAGTGCAGTAGAACAAAGGGTAGTCCCAATATCCAGCGTTGAGGCAGGTAATGTAAGAGTATGGTACCTGGTAGGCAGGCTTGTAGTTGCTCTTGCACTCTGGTGACGCTATCGTTCCTGGCTTCATAGACTGGTCACAAGACACTACCTTGTCTTGGAACGAACACTTGATGTTGAGGTACTGAGACTTCAATGGTAAACAAGGCAATCCAGCTGAAAAAAATAAACGATTATCAGAAAATGTTTTTATAAGTAAAGTAACTTACCATCAGCAATTATCAGATAAAGTATCTAAATGATTACCCCCACCACAGCAAACCTGCAGACTAAGCGAATTTCCATTTACCTGGCTGTATTTAAAAAATATATTTCCTTAACATTTATTTCTTATTTAAATAACATTAATTTTAGTTAGTAGTTAAGTTTGCCGCTACAGGGAAGGTATTTAGGTGTGTTTTTTATTGAAATGTTGATAGCTTAGTGTATGAAATAAACAAAATTGCCAAATTGGATTAAAATATATCGATAAACAAGCCAACTATAACAGTTTATTTATTATCCATAAGAATAACGTGGGAATTTTAAATTAAAATTTTTTTGGATTATCTCCGTAACCGTTAGGCATACAACAACACTTCGATATACAAAATTAATTTTGTAATTTATATATATATACATTTGTGTTTTTGGGCTCTAGGGACCTCAAAACGAAAAAGTAAATTGGTCCCGGGTCTAGGTCTTACCATGAGATTTCGGTAAAAGCTACTTCCCTATAGGGAAATTCGCTAAGAAGAGCACTTTCATCCTCACAAAAGACACGTGAATAACATTTTATTAATTTTATTATTTTTACTTCTTAGCTTGAAAATCTATCATTTTCCATTTAACAAAATTGATCTTGAATCTAAAGAGTTACAGGTCCAAACCCAGTTCATTTATCATAATAAACCCAAAATTTAAATTGCGAACTTTTTAAATTAGTTTGAGAACAAGGCCAATGCTACGACAATTTTTAGTTACTGCTGAAAATAATACATGATGAAAGTGACCGTGCAATGGCATGAAAGTTTCTAACGTGAAGGCAAACAAAGCGGACAAATTAAATGATCTTAAACATATGTATATACATTATGGACAATATAACACGAGTAAGCCGTGCTATCTAAGCTGGATTAAAGATGCTTGATAAATGCTCAAAGAAGTACAATGTTTCGGGGTTTTTTTAATCCGAATGCTACACTATCCCAAGTAGTCTCAAACTTAGGTAGTAAAATTAAACTGATGAGCAAACATGATTATTTGATTGTATACGCTGGTACAAATGATGTTGATCAGGAGATTGTAAATCTAAACTTATAAGCTCCTTCAATGAATTAGTAAATGAAACAAAACATAATCTTATTGTATTAGGTATTCCATATAGGTTTGATAGGAAATCATTGAATGGTAACATTTTGGAAATGAATCGCCTTATGTATAATTGTATCTCATCTCATAACCATGCTTACTTTTTGTCACTCCACCATGTTTTCAAACAAAAGTTTTACACTAAATTTGGCCTCCACCTCAACCTTTCGGGTAAAAGATTAATTTCTAAATATATATTGGATCTGATAAATCTAATAACCAGCCCGACACTAACAAGTGTCATAAACCACATCCCTGTCCATTTCACCGGTCTTGAGGCCTGTCCTTCTGGTAGAGTAGTTCAATCCCCAACACCACTAGAAGTTTCTAATTCCTGTCACTCCCAATGTAGTGATCCCATAGTTTCTTCTAGCTTAATTCCTTTTTTAGGAACTCCTCAACTGATTCAGGCCATTACGTAACATCTTCTATAAGTCTTTTAGTATTTTCCATCAGAATGTCCGAGGCTTATATTGTCCAAATCCAGCCAGATAGAAATTATCTTAGATCTGTATTCACCAGATGTTTTGTGTTTGTCAGAACATTTCCTCCGTCGATCTGAGTTGGAGGCTTTTCGAATGCCAGGCTACACACTAGCAGCTAGCTATTGCCGCACCCAAGTAGAAAAAGGAGGAGTATGCATTTTTACACCTGATCACTTAAATTATACTGTGGTAGATGTGTCTGACTTTTGTATTGAAAGTGTATGCGAGCTTGCTGCAATTAAAGTAATAAATGGGTCTCTAAATACAATCTTTGTATGCGTGTACAGATCCCCAAGCAATATACAAAGTAACATACAGAAATTCTTGAGCACTATTCGAGCATGTTTTGACTCATTGAAAGCTAAAAACTTATCCTTCGTGGTTGCAGGTGATTTTAATATTTACCTGAATGATAAAGACGGCCCCTCTGCAAAACTACTCATAGACCTGATGTTATCATTTGGTTTTCCAGACACAATTAAGACCTTTACGAGAGAGTTTCAAGGTTCCAGAACTATTATTGACATTATATTTACAGACATCCCTGAGCATTTATTCTATTCTTCTGTTCTTATAACTAGTATCTCAGACCACCATGCCCAACTAAGTGAACTAAAAGGACATCCAGAGAGCAATACTAAAATTAAGTATAAAATGACAAGGAATTTTAATGATCAAAACATATCTACATTCAAGTATTTATTAAGGAAAGAGAAATGGCTAGACTTATTCGAAATCAAATCCGTAGACGGAAAATTCAACCATTTCCTATCCACAATACAATTCTATTTAGATGTTGCACTACCACTAAAGAAATGTAAACAAAAGGAAAGAAAGTCCAAAACCAAAATATGTCTAGATTCAGATTTGAATGAGTTAAGAGAAAAAATGATTTTCCTTTACACTCTGTCTAAAGATCTCAATATTACACACCCAATTAAACAATCATACATAAACACAAAAAAGGTTTTTAAGAGTAAAATAAGTACCGATTCCTCAGGCTGTTTGTGTAGTAGGATATCTGATGAGCGTACTGTAAGTACAGGTGTGCCACAGGGGTCCGTTCTTGGGCCCGTCCTTTTCTTAATGTTCATCAATGATCTGCCTCCTGTAGTGTCAAATTCAAAGTTACATCTGTTTGCTGATGATACTTCCCTCATTGTCTCCAGTCAAAATCATTCACAGCTAGAAATCCAAACATTTATTGAGAGTAGTTTTGTTTTCCAATGGCTATACGAGAACTCTCTACATGTTAATCCTCAGAAAACATCACTTTTAGAATTTCGTATACGACCGAATTCGTCTAACCCATCTGAATCTTTAAATTTACCTGTCGACAACATCAACATTGTTTCTTCTTCTAGTGTAACATATTTAGGAGTAACGTAGTCATTGACAGCAATCTGAAGTTTTCCAGTCCCATCGACAAAATTCACAATAGACTTAGTACTAGTGATTTCCTTCTTCGTAGGCTCTCTTGTTATCAAGACAGACGCATCCTTCTGACAGCTTATTACGGTCTTGTTTAACCCTTTCTTACATATTGTGTGCCCGTTTGGGGTAACGACAAACTTCAAACTAAGAAAATATTCAAACTGCAAAAAAGAGCCATCAGATTAATCTTCAACCTAAAATATAGAGAGTCTTGTAGATCAGTCTTTCGTACAAATAATATGCTGACCTTCCCATCAATTTTCATTTTTGAATCTTTGACTTTCTTAAAAAGAAAATTCGACAATGTTCCATTTTAGAGGGTCATCTCACCACAGCTACAATATCAGGAGGAACTTTAACCTACATATTCCACTATCTCGTACCACTTTCCATAAAAACCAATCATTCTCCATGTGTATCCGTCTTTTTAATTCTCTCCCTAATACAATCAAGGGCGAACATGACTAAAAAATTTAAGCGTGGTCTGAGGGAATTTTTAGTTGATAAGGAATTTTACAGAGTTTCTTCGTTTTTAAATTGTAAATAGTTTGTACCTTTTGAAGTTTGTATCTTATTTTAATGGGTCTGATTTTACTTGTTTAGTTTTAGTGACTTTTGCCCTGTACATTTATGTATTATTATGGCAATAAAACATTCTGATTCTGATGTGTAAAAACTCCAAAACGAATATTAAAACTATGACTTGCAGTCAGATCTGTCTAGAGCTATAGGGAACGAGCAATCCCAGTAGTAGAGCGTTGGACGTCGGTTCCTGAGGTCAAAGGTTCGAATCTCATCAGTCACCAATAGATTTTTTCTAAGTAATAATGCCTCTACCCAATGAGCCTATCCGGAAGAAAGATGTAAAATTGTTCTGGGATAGAGCCTAGCATCTAAGGTGTAAAGGCGAGACAGTAAGTCCACGCAATACAGTTGTTGGTCTTTTCCACACCATGTCTTACCTATACACTCTGGCAGGGACGGAGACCAGTTCCCATCCGTACAGAAGGACACAGTATCAGTAGAGTTGAGGACGAACCCATCATCGCATCCGTAGTAGAGATCCCACCCCGAGGGTACTGGGGTCCCGGGGACTATCTTGCAAGCGGCGTTGGAGACGTGGGGAGGACATCTCTTGATATTGGGCGAGTATCTGCCATTGACCATTGGCTGTGGGAGAAGACAGCTCCTCTCATCTGGGCTGCTGAAATCATTGTCAAAGTTAATTTTGTTTTTGACAGTGAGTATATTAGTAGATTAGTAAAAATAAAGGTTTACGCGACGTTTTGGGATCTAGAATCTCCTAACTCAAGTTAAGAAAGTTACTGAAACCTAACAAGATTAGTTCACAAACCCAGCCAAAGCCAAACCTGGTAAGCTGGTGTACAAATCTTGGTATATTTTAGGGTCTTCCTCAATTGAGGATGTGCTCAGACAGGACATCCAGGAACATCGTAAACAATGCTTTTTAATGGAAAATGGCTGCAATAATCTTTTAAAATAACAGGAAATAATTGTTAGAAAAACAATCACAAAGTTTAATTCAAGCCACAGTGATTATTGTTAGTATTCAGATATACATGCATATTAAAAAATGTCTACGTAATTAATTAAGTATGTGATCTAAAAATACGCAAACATTAAGGGTATTAGTCAGTTGTAATCAGTTCTTAGAGGATTTAAAAATGCAAAGATCATGTTTAAGATCTATATATTAATACAAATTTTCCTTTATTTGTTTATTTTATCGTTCTCATATTGATTTTAATTTGTGTAACTTATCTAATGGCGGTTTAAGTCAGCACTAAGTGCATAATTACCAGGAACTAATCATGACCAACTCTAATGTAAACATAGACGATTATAATCAATGCGTTGTTAGCTAAGTAGCTCAGTGGTTATTATACTCGCTTATTAATCTCACAATCCCCAATGGATAAAAAGGTTTTTTTGGCTTTCAATAATTTCCATCCAATTGAATTCAGATACCCTGTATTAACAATCTTTTAATTCGTTAGAGTGGTGAAAAGTTGATTTCATGCCACACTACACTGTTTTAACAAACTTTTCACGCAAGGATTTAAGTCCAGAAAACAGCTGTTTGCCGCCAGCTTAATCACATGGGATTTCATTACTTACTACTGTACTGTAATGAGTTTTTACAGCTTATTATATTTGGAAATGAGTGGTTATAAACAAAAACATGGCCTCTCTTAGAGGTTATGAGTAGTGATTGTTAGGACTTTAGTCGGTGGGGATATACAGTATAAGAATTTTTACAGATTTTTTTAAGTTAGCTTATAGTAGTATGGTGTAAAATATCGTACGTCACTCGTCCAAAATGTGTTTACCATATGGTAAACACCATATACAGTAGTAAACACCTATTTTCAGGACTAGTAACGTAATATACTATTACATAGTAAGAAACGAGACAAGAAATATCACCCGTCCTCAATGTTTCTTTATTTTATAGTTAACATTTTCGCTTTTTGGCTCATATCTTATTTTAAACTAGTTATTTAATGAAAGCTTAACTTCACTCACTCTACCATATTACTACTCACTGATAAATGATATTTCTATATCAACGGTTTTCTAAATGTTTTAGCGAATTTCCCTATAGGGAAGTAGCTATTACCGTAGGTGGCACGGTAAGACCTAGGCCCGGGACCAATTTACTTTTTTCATTTTGATGTCCCCAGAGGCCAAAAACACCATTCGTTCAAATCTTAGTTGGGGACGCAGCATTGCAAGTCCTAGTGTTACTTTCGTAAATGTAGTCCGTGCATATTATGCCTATTGCACGATATGAACAAGTGGGAAACTGGTATTTTGTTATTCTTAGAAATACGGATTCAGGTGGAGAAAGCCTAGGTAGTGATCAAAATTGGCTGACCTCAGTCCTGTGAATACTTCCCGCTCAATGTTATTTACTTAGTCCAGTATCATTTATTCAAGCTCCATTGATGATTGTTGTTCATTGTTGGGGAGCAAACTGGTCTAAAAGTAGAGCACGGGGCTTTGGAGCCCGAGGTCCCGGGACCAAATCCAACTAATCACCAATGGATTTTATCTATTTGATTTTATCTATCACTGTGGATGCGATAATCCCTGGTGTGGATTAACGTCCGCACGAGTGAGTACTACGACTATCCGCAGTACTATCCTGAAAATTAGACCAATTCGTATATACCAATGCAAAAATGTGGTTCGGATTCCACTATAAACTGTAGGTCTCTTAGTTGCCATTAGCTGTATGGGCTATTAATTAACAGCTGTGTCTAAGCATAGACCGTCAGCTGTGCTGCGGTAACCATAGGTTCTGGCGCACACCGCTGGGAGCGCCATGTAGTTACGGCGTACACGCTACGAAAAGTACACGGCGCTCCCAGCGGTGTGCGCCAGAACCTAATGTTACAATGGTAACCGCAGCACGGCTGACAGTCTATATTTAATTCTTTTTGTCTATGGTCTAAGGAATATGTCAGCCTTAGTCACTAACAAGACTACAAGATCGCGCCACTCATCCTACACTAATCTCCATTCATACTTGGCTTAAAATACCTACTTTGTATGGTCACCATTTCATTGAAAAGTATTAAAGTATTAAAGTATTAATACCGCGACCCTCTTGGACTAGCCTGAAGTAATGTAAAACAGTTCCGGGCCAAAACCTAGTGTTCTAGGACTTGAAGGTGGGAGGGCAAAAAAAGTAGAAAGCTTCGTGTAGGAGTTTTAGAACATCAAACAGGGAACTGCAGTTGCCTAGAACCATTGACGGGTTTTTTTTTACAAAACACGTTAAAAAACCGTGCTGTTCGACCGTAAGGTCTGATAAATTACTGAGTAATGTGTTGCATTTCGTGGATTGAGGGTAGGTATGATTTGCAAGCTTGATGAGAGAGGCCTGGCCTACTGACATGAGCTGTGAATGTTGACAAGCTGGATTGATTACTTGTGAGTTACACCTCATATCAGATGCCACGATACTTTAGGCTCATATTATTTAAAGTGTGTGTTCAAAAACTAGGTTTTAATCATTTGGATTTATTGTTCGCAATATGAGAGAAACATTTTAAAATCAATAGATCTAACGCCGAATAATCTATTGATTTCAAAGGTATGACTTTGTTTAATAGTGTGTTTCAAAATATATAAGCTATTTAAACATAGATTGATTTACTTACCCTTGTCTCTTGGTCCTGATAAATCCATGCTTAGAGGTTGTTGAGTTCGGTTCGGCTACCACTGATAAAAATCACACATAAACAAAATAGATTAATACGTTTGTAATTAGTTTTAAAACAGTAAGCTTGTTTAAACTGAATGCTAGAAGATTTTAAACTGAATGTGATGTAGATGGAAAGAACAATAAAATCCGTAATAAAATCAAAGATTTACAAATTTGCTGTAGCACAGCATTGTTATACCACTTTTGATATCACTTCTTTACAGTGTAATATTTACCTTAAAAATAATATTTCTACCTAACCAATAACTATTTTTGAACTGACAAATTTAAACACAATTTAACACACTAAAGAGGAAAATCAATCTGAAAATCCCTTTAGTTTAGCCATGAGGAAATAAACACAACTTAACAAATGTAGCATAGTATGATAATAATTTTTATAGGGCCATTTTTAAAGCTATGTAGTGACTATTGTAGTAAAATGTGGCAATGTTGACACAAAAGCCTACCTAATACTAAACAGAAAATCGGGTAAACCGATCGCAACATTGTTCACAACGTCAAGACTCACTGAACATCGCGAGGTTTACGATTATACTGAGATTCTCGACCAGGAAAACCGAGACATGATAGCGACGTCCTTGACCTTGCCCTTGAACTCCATCAGACTGGTTCTTCCCAGGCGATAATAACGGCCGAAATGTGTTCTGATTAGTCACAGACGACAGTATTGACCCGAAGATTTTGTAGCTGAGTTTATGATAACAATGTGCTCCTAACCTACTTATTGATTGATACCATTGACTATGCATAGAATAGACCTATGTTATGTAAAAATTTGAAGCCAAGAAAATAGAAGTTTAGGACCATCTCACCAGAGAGTACCAGTGTATTAGGTAAATATTAATTAAAATCAATGAAGTATCATAGCAAACAGCTGATTGGTTTGTCACTTGAAACAGAATAGGTCTATTGTCATTAGTTGGAAGACTATCTCAACAGATTGCACCAGGTTTTTTGGCTTCAATTTTTTACTTTATGTGGGGAGTCTATTCTGTGTAGAGTTAATGTTAACACTATGAACAAAAAAAAAGATGGGGTATCAGCTATTATGGTAATAGTAATTTGAGTATGAAATAGTTTAATCAACCAATAAACATTTGAAGTAATATAATCTGAATTTACAATCAAACGTGTGTAATTCCCAATGGTGGTTGAAGCTTCCATATCAAGTATCAATTACATAATATTTCTTTGTTGATTAGCTTGCGCGGAATCAAATAACTGTACGACGCTTTGTATAATTAGCAAAACTTAATCAACAACGACCTTATAATTGATATAACATAATTACCGGGACGTGCGCACTAATATTACGCATCAAGGTTTTTAATGAGATACATCATATAAGTGATTAGAAATAATACGATACATTCGTTCACCATTATTTACTTTTAGTGAATTCTACAAAACAATAAGGTACAAATAAATAGATTCTTATTAAATATATAAACGTATATTAATACTATGGCAGATATTCGGGGAGCGAGCTGGTCTAGTATAATGGTTAGAGCGCGGGACTTCGGTTACAGAGGTCCCGGGTTCAAATCCCGCTAAATCACCAATGGATTTTATCAAAGTGATAATGCCGCAACCCCTAGGTCTAGCGTGAAGTAATGTGAAAAACAATTCCGGGCTCGTGCCTAGCGTCCTAGGACAAAAAAGGCAGATATTCATCCTTAAACTAAAATTCAAGCCTTCACACTTGTCTTTGTTAACTTCTAAAACAGCAAATTTCTTACAAGTCGAACGATTTCAGCATTTCAGAACAGATGAACACTATATCTTCCGAAATTGTCTGGTAAACGTAAATACTTACAATTTTGTTTCACTTATGATGCAAGAACACAATTTCATAAAAAATTTACGCGCCTTTTAAAAAGTATTACTACAAAGAACAGAACCGTGACAAGGAACATTGAAATTGTTTCAAAATAACTATTGTTTCAGTCGCAGACTGACTATTGAAAAAAAAACAAAAAAACAACGCATGTATTATCAAGAGCGCATGTGAGGGATATTGGATTTTCTCCGATGAAACATGTGAACCAATGGAGTGGAATGAAAACTCTGTATTGTCTTCTGTCACGTTTTGGTGGTTTTATTATGAAATTATTATGAGCTTTTCGCAAATTTAAGTACGAGTTCCAGGGGACCGAGCCATGGCTCGGTATGACTTATTTCGATTGTAAGGGCACCGATTTCTATCACGTCTACCATTTCTAAGGTTTTTGAAAGGGCTGTGTTGAACAGATTGTGGTCTTTTATCCATCAAAATGACACTTTGTTTTCATATTAGTTTGGTTTCATCAAGAATAATCCACGGTTGATGCAATGTTTGCTTTAACAAACAGAATAGTTGAATCCTTGGATAAAGGAGAATCAGCTGCAGGTATTTTCTTTGATCTTCGGAAAGCTTTTGACATGGTTTCTCATAAAATGCTTCTAGAAAAACTCGAAGAGATTGGTGTTAGAGGGATAGCCAACAAATGGTTTCGCTCCTTTCTAGCTGGACGTCGTTAGACCGTTGAATTCTCGATAGAAAAATGTGGGATATTGAAGAATTAATTGTAGCTCTAATGTGTAACGTCCCTCATATTTTATGTACTACAGTTAACTCATTATGAGAGATGCTACTCTTCAGCTTACAGCCATCAATAGTGAGACAGTATGCATCCGAACATAGATTGGAAGCAAAATAGTTTACTAGTTTACTCCAGAAAAGATTTTTATCACAACAATTCGTAATGTTTACAATAAATTATAGAATTTTAGATATGACCATAAACTACATTACAATTTTGACACTTTTACTTGGAAACTTTGAGTAATGTTTCTCTGTTCAAATAAAATAATCACTTACTAAAACAAATTAAAGTACCCTGTAACTTCTCCCCTCTCATACACAAAAACTCATAAAAGACACTCTAACAAACTATCTCTAAGTCTTTACGCCTCAAAATCCAACTAAAATTACATAAAATAGGCCCCAAATCAATATGAACTGCACTGGAATGGTACTCATCACTTCCATCCCGCGACGTGGTATCCTGGACTGAAGACGTGTGATCTCCATGGAGCATCTAGCTTGAAAATATGTAGAAGTTCTGCGCAGATCCAAGAAAATCAGTGATCTGAAGACGAGACCTTCAAAGATGATAGGCCTTCCTCCCGATGCCGTAGAGTACAATAGCCTGCCTAATGCCTGAGATCCAGGGATAGACGTGAACCCTGTGAAAACTCGCCTTTCTCAGTAATCACACTCACTGCTGTATACAATATATATATACTCCTCCCAGTTCATGATAGGTACAAAATATCTAACCATTCCAGTGCAAAGGTAATTAGTCTACTACATTTATCAAGGCCATTTAATATAATCGTCTAATTTGTCATCTTTATTTTATGGGAATTTTTCTATTAACCTATAAAATACACTTATTACTCGGATTTTGTGACACATTTGTTCAAATTATTATTAAACAAAATAAACTTCGATTAATTTACATACTTTTGAAAGGAAGCTATTACCCTAACATGATTCAGACTGCACAAATTAAGCTCAGAAATTAATAATATACCCATGATACATACTTCAAATTACTTAAAACTAAAGATTGAGTGCCTAGATGGAATTTAAAATTACAAAATTATACATTTTCTATCTTGCCACCACGTGGTATGATCCTGCAATCTACAACTTGTCTATTCAAACTACTCTGCAACTTAAAACATTCACTTAAAACAATTAACAATGCACTTCTTGATGTATTAACGCTCTTTCCTGGAATAAATTTGTATTTTTTTTTAATAAACTAAAATTTCCTTAAAATCTTACCTCGTTCTGAGGGTTATAACATGTAAGATGATCTGCTCCTCCAGATGCGACCAACATGAAATACAGTACAATGACGAATGTGGGCATTTACCGTAGTCTGCACTCACTAATATAATTTCGGCGTACACCCACCGCGACTCTATCTGTCTGCAAACCATGAAACTAATCCCCCCCCCCTTCGTCGCATGAATAGGTGACCATTGCCTTGTCTTTTGTCCTTGAACGTCAGCTCACCTTCATAACACGTAAACCCGTCTGCGATTGTTAAATATTAAACCTATCTAGATCAAACTCTTCTAACAGATTTATTGTAACAGATTTATTGTAACAGATTTATTGTAAAATCGTTACAATATTACAAAAAAAAACCCAAATATTTGGTTTACTAGTAAAAAAATTCAACGAATTTATTAAACTTTTTCTACAACCTAGATCTAAACAATTCTTTGCCTAAAAATTAACTTTTTTGATACTATATTGTGTTCTATAACAAATAAAGCATCATAAAAAAAACAAAATACTTCAGTTTACACGATCGTAATAAATTATCCTCTAAATAAAAAATATTTATATTTAGAAGGTGTTTTTGTAAAACATGTTTTCTACAATACAACGAAATGTAAAAATACATTTGTGTTAGTAATGGTAATTTAATCGTTAACATTAAAATATGATTTATTGGGTCCGTGATGTACGTATATTTGTGCTGTTGGTGGACTCAATACTGTAGTCTCATGATGAGGACAATACCAATGGTGGACCTGTGTGTTTATCCAATGGTATTATCCGGACAAAAAAACGCAAACTTGTTTGGATTGCAGTCTAGGTAATAAAGAACTAAATGCCATAAATAATGCGAGACCTGAGGGCTTAGGTCACATGTTGACTGATCTGAACAAGTTCATATCTGTGTCCCTCATGGAACAGGAATATTCAATGCCCAGTAGTTTGAGCGAACCATTTTACTTTAACAGTTTACTCAAAACTCGCCATGATCAAGGAATAAAAGGTACATGTGCTTATTTTAAACTCAGCCACCCTTACTCTGGACGAGATTAGACAGCTATCATTCCTTTGTCCATGGTTCAGGACTCTATAAATTTTGTAGATTTTAATGGCTTTTCATCCCTGCCCTGGGACGATAAGAAGAATATTTGGTAGGATCCTCAAACTATTGGAAGATCTATGTGCGTGTGATAGGAGATATAGTGGCTAGGGAGGGTTAGGTGATGTATATAATTAAAATATGTGCAATATATATTTCTTTAAGAGCATTTCATAAGCTTATTAGTAGTTATCATACCTTATACGATTTTTTGCTTAATCCTTTATGATATCTTTGTTTTATTTTTTTATTAACATGGATTTATGCCTCAATTAACTAAAATTTTCATACCGAGTAATTTTGTCACTGAAATGTAGTAAAGATCATTTACTTAGATATTTAATAAGGTAATGTAGCCCATCCACAAACTTATTCTAAAATTATGCTTGGAGGAATATTTGTACAAAATACTGCTGTGCAATAATCTGTAATTAGTTTCTGCTGCAATTAATTAAGGCGAACTCAAGTACAGGAGCTCATCTTGCTGAGGAAATTAGATCGTAAACAGCGAAAGTTCTTACAAAGACAATGACTAGAGTATCTTACTTTCTTCAAGGCTTAGGAATTTAATTAAAGAAACATACGGTGTAAGCCAA